AATGCAAATGCCCCCATTGTCAGGACTTTGACTGAGTACAACTGTTTCTCAAAATTTTTGGATCTTGACTTGTCGGAATCAAAATCAATTATCTATACTAAATTGAAAAAACTATTTATTGTGCAAAAATTTAGATAAGCCTTTATTGTATTTACTCTTAGTTCATTTAACGCTTCAAATTGTACCAAAAATTTAACTACATAGCTTGTAATTTTTCATAATGTGTGTACCACTTACAACTTTAGACATTAAATAAATAAATAAATAAAATGCTTATTGGTCGAAAATCACTGGGACTACACGCAGACTTGTTTTTAGCAATTGGTTGCACCGTTGCAACCTTCCATGCATCAGGGAAACATGAAGTTGTGATACTATGATTGATGACATAGGTGAGAGTAGGCAAAATGTACGGTGCAATTATTTTTATAAATTTAATTGGTATGTTGTCCGCCCCAATTGCATTGAACTTTATTTTATTAATACAAAGTGCCACTTCTACCTCTGGCACAGCTTTAAACTCAAAGACTTGGCAGACAGACACAACAGACGAAGGACAGGATGTAAAGCAAGCATTAACACAAGATGGGGTAACACGATTGACAAAAGCATCATTAAGGTCTTCAGGACTAAGGGAACAATTCTTGAGTGAAAAAAAATTAAAAATAGCAGGATAATCATTAACCTGAGCGAAAAAAAATAAAAATCAAAAGTAGTCCTTATGCCCAAGCAAAAATATAAAACTCAGAATCTGAGTATTATTCTTGAGTGAAAAAATAAAAATCGCAAAATGATCATTATTCTTGAGCGAAAAAATAAAAATTGAAAGATAATCATTATTCTCGATCAAAAAACTTAAAATCAAGGGGTAATCATTATTCTTGAGCGAAAAAAAAGTCATATTTTAATTATTACTTATAATTTTTAAAACTTGAAAAATAAAAATCATTGTAAATTACGGTAGGACATACAAAGACAGATATGTGCGTATACATAAAATTCCTGTACGACACTTACAACATGTTGATTTTTTCAATTTAAATTTAAAAAATAATTATTTTCCATCCCTGGTTTTTACTTTTGATGGGTGTGCTGTCAAATCAGTAAAAGCAAAAACAAAATACGTGTAAGGCGAAGAAATCAGCTGAATTTACAACACCTCCTTGTAAAAAAGTGAAGAGCAGCTCAAGTTAGAGCAGAATAGAGAAGCTGTCAAAAAAAAACAATAGATCAAGTTAGAGCAACCCATGGTATAATAAAAACAGGTAGAAGCCAATTTGACGTCAAACCTACAAAAGTCAAAGTTTTCGGGAGAGTAAAAATAAAAAATGAGCGTGTGTAAAGAAAAATAAAAAAATACATTTCACGGTTGACGTTTTTAAGCAGGGACATAACAGTTATAAGTTTTATCGCAAAAACGTTGATCTAGAACAGTTATTAGATGAGAAATATTTTTTCCGTTGCCCATAAGAGTTATTTCCCAACGTTTATTTTTTACGTTGCCAATAAGAGTTATTTCCCAACGCTTATTTTTTACGTTGCCTGATAGCACTTAAGCTGAAATTAGTCAAGAACGTAAACCTACCGGTACGTAAACCCGAGTCAGCTGACACGATCTGTCTTACCAAAGCGCCATGTAAATGAAAACTCAACACCGCAGAATTTTTCTGTAGTTGTAGCCCGTAGCGCAGAAATCTGCGGAATTTAGATTTTTCCGTGTCAGCTGATTTCTCCTTCTTTAGATGGTTGCCACTTCGTCAGTTTTGCAAATGGTAAAAAAGTTATAAGTTCCTATTCGAAATATGTTTAAAATATTTGAAATTTACTATTAAATAAGGTTTTTGTTGAAAACTAAGTAGTTTATATTTAGTTACAATCTATTATAGCACGAAAAATTGTGGTTGAAAGGGTAAGTTTATGAAAAGGCAGTGAAGAGTGGCAACAGTGTAGTAAGCAACACTGAGGGCTCCAGTAATCGACAAAATTCTGCGTATACAGACTGCGTTTAAGTATACGTTCTGCGTTCTCGACTAATTTCAGCTTTACTGCCCAACGTTTTTTTACGTTACTGATAACTATTATGCAATAGAAATATTTTTTCCGTTGCCAGTCTATATAAGTATATAATTTGAATGCCATCAGATCTGCACCGTTCGTTCGATTTTCAAAAGTGAGGTGTAAAATTACAGGGGTTGCCACCTGCTAAAAATCTAGCTTAAAATTAATTTATAATGCAGCGTTTTTGCTGCATTTAAAATGCAACATTTAGCACTTTCGAACATATGTTTTCGAAGAGCGTTCATGCTATAGCATTTAGCAAATGTACATTTACGCGAGTTCGAAATCATATGCTTTTGACAAACAGCCGTGTTCCAGTCTCTTATTTAGATCCGTGTATATTACGATCAATTCTCACGCAGAAGATAATGTGCAAAAACCCTACTGAAAAGGAAAAAATAAATTTTAAACCAAAAATTCAATACAAAAACTTGAATTGTTTAACCATAACCGAGCATTTGTTTGTGTATATATTCATTTGTCGGTGCTGTCAATTAAAATTTCCTCACTTAATTAGGAAACAAAACAAACAGAGTTGATCATAAATTGATCCTGATTTCTATCAGCATCACATCGATGTTGAATTTGCTTAACTTTTCTTTATCCAAATGTGTAATGTAAAATAAAAGAAATCTCGATCGACGATCACTGAAACGCAGCTAGCAACTGTATACTCGAAAAAGCAATGTTGCCACTTTTTCTCTTTAAACCATGTTCGAATCGTGGAAATTTTGGAAGATCACAGGGTTGCTTTCAGCATTTAGATTCTTAATGCAAAAATGGAGTTGCATTTAGGTGACGAATTTTGTATGGATAAATGTACATTTAGAGTCGCATTTAGAGCTAAATGCTCTAAATGTGCTTTTACGCATAAGCAAAAACAGGCCATAAGTTAAATGAATGAATGGGTATAAACCGAAACAGTTTTGACAGGGGTTTTCGAAACTGCATGAAGGAGGGTTGCCGCCTGTTTGAAAAGCTACATTGAAATTTACACGTACCGAAGATGTATATATCGTAATTCACAAAGGCCCTAACCAATAGATCGGTCCCTGGTGCACTTCCCGAAAAGAGGATTCTGTATGGTAATCTAGGCAAAAAGCTACCTATGTACCAAATTTTAAGCAAATCGGGCCATAAATTCGATTTTTTTCGAATAGATCGGTTCCTGGTCCACTTCCCAAAAAAAAAGTATTATGTATGGTAATCTAGGCAAAAAGCCACCTATGTACCAAATTGGGCCATAAATACGATTTTTTTGAATAGATCGGTCCCTGGTCCACTTCCCGGAAAAATAGATCCTATATGCTAATCTAGGCAAAAAGCTATCTGCGTACCAAATTTCAAGTAAATCGCACCATAAATAGGATTTTTTCGAAACGATCAGTCCCTGGTCCACTTCCCGGAAAAAAAGGATTTTATATGGTATTCTAGGCAAAAAGCTACCTACAAACCAAATTTTAAGCAAATCGGGCCATATATACGATTTTTTTCGAATAGATCGGTCCCTAGACCACTTCCCGGAAAAAAACGTTTCTGTATGGTAATCCAGGCAAAACGCTACCTATGTACCAAATTTTAAGCAAATCGGGCCATAAATACGATTTTTTTCCAATAGATCGGTCCCTGGTCCACTTCCCGGAAAAAGGGATCCTGTATGCTAATCTAGGCAAAAAGATACCTTCATACCAAATTTTAAGCAAGTCGGACAATAATGAGATTTTTTCGAGTAGATCGGTCCCTGGTCCACCTACTGGAAAAAAAGTAATTTTTTTGGCCTAAAACATGGTGGTTGCTGAAAGCTATTTGTACACAAAATTTCATCAAAATCGTATCAGCCGTTGGCGAGATTACCTGTTACAAAAAAAATGGACTTCTCTTAATATAATTAGTATAGATAGTATAGACTGGCAACGGAAAAAATATTTCTATTGCATAATAATTATCAGCAACGTAAAAAATAAGAGTTGGGAATAACTCTAATCGGCAACGGAAAACATATTTCTCATCTAATAACTGTTATGAAACAACGTTTTCGTTAAACTTCAGAGTTCGGGCAACGTTTTCAATTTGTAAATTCGAGATAACAGTTATTTTTAGTCCCCGTTTTTAAGTAAATTTTAAGTTTATTTTTATTTATTTATTTTCTTTAGTTTAAATTTTCCAACTTGTATGTTGTTTTCTGTTTTTGATTTATGAGTTGCATTGTTGTTGGAGGGACTTTTCGGCATTAGGGTTATAGGAACAGCACTTGGCATCAAACGTGCCTTTCCTGTACCTCCTGGTGTATGTATTTGTGAAATCTGCTCCTTCAAAATATTTAGCGCACATCAAGGCATTTCGCTGCAGCTCTGCCCACATCTGCTTTCGCAACGCTCCTTACGCTAAGGACATTGAGGCACGTTAAAAAAATTAGTGGTATCTGCTTTATATTTAACACCACATAAAAAACAACGCTTCAGATGTTCATTTTTTACACATACACTAAGTATAAACCGCACAACACTACAAAAATTCAATGGTGGGTATCGCCGATCTAGACGGGGTTAGATCGCCGAAACAACAGCCCTTGGTCGGGTGAAACCCGAGTCATTCCGGTACGAAACCGCCCCTGTGAGAGAACTGTCCTAGTAGCGCTGGACTTGTCAAAGGCGTTTGACACCGTCTGCCATTCCACGCTGCTAGAAGACATTGAGGCCTCCTCTCTCCCACAGGGACTGAAGCGATGGTCGGCGAATTATATGAGTGGTCGGCAATCATCAGTAATCTTCAGAGATCAAACCTCGAAACCAAGAAGAATAAAACAAGGGGTTCCACAAGGTGGTGTTCTCTCCCCCTTACTTTTTAACTTCTATATCTCGAAACTCCCCCAGCCACCTGAAGGAGTTTCCCTGATCTCGTACGCTGATGACTGTTCGATTTTGGCGTCTGGGAATGGAATTGATGACCTCTGCTCAAAAGTAAACGGCTATCTCTCCAGCCTTTCTCGCTTCTTCACTGCAAGGAGCCTAACCCTCTCCCCAACGAAATCAACGGCGACCCTCTTCACCACCTGGACGAAGGAGGTCAGGCTTGAATTAGGCATTCACGTCGACGGCACACCCATACCGACGGTGGACAACCCGAAAATTTTAGGGGTTACCTTTGATAGCCTGCTCTCTTTCTCCGCGCACACAACCGCAGTTGTCAACAAAGTACAGAGCCGCAACAAGGTCCTCAAGTCGCTCGCCGGCAGCACTTGGGGCAAAGACAAAGAAACGTTGCTGGCAACATACAAGGCAATTGGCCGGCCGGTTCTAAATTATGCTGCACCAGTTTGGTCGCCGGGGACTAGTTGGACGCAGTGGACGAAGCTACAGACTGGTCAGAACGCCGCACTCCGGACAGCGACTGGGTGCCTTCTGATGACGCCTGAACATCACCTACACAGTGAGGCCCAAGTGCTCCCCGTAAGGGAACACAACAAGATGCTCTGTAAGCAGTTTCTTGTGGGGTGTCACAGAAGTGAACACCCCAACAGACCACTGCTGGAGGAGGAGCCTCCGCCCAGGCACGTCAGGGGGCACCTATTCATGTACAAGGACGCAGTCCAGACCTACACAGACCAACCACTGGACCCAATGACGTACAGACGAGCGATCAACGACATTCATAGGGAGTCTGTCTCCACAGGCGGGGCTTAGTAGTGCCGCTACAACAACAACAACAAAAATTCAAATGTAAATTAAAATTTGTTATTAAGGAACATTCAAAAAAAAACAACGATATGACATTCAAAGCGTAAAGAAATAAAGGAAATAAAAGAAAAAAAGAAGTTTAAAGATTTGGTTCTCATGAGAGAACGTCTTTTTGGCTTCTACCTGTATTTATGTGCCTTGAGAGCAACTTAGATCATAATCTCATGACACTTTTAAGGCAGAAATTCAGTTGATTGCTCGACAGTTCAATTCATCAATTGTAAAGTGTGTGTGTCTGCTTGCTATAAGTTACTCCATCAAAAAAGCTGTTGCAGAAAATCGTGCTCTAAGTCGCACTACACCATTTCCAGTTGGATTTTGGAAGGCGTCAATTGGATTTTAGAATAGTCAATTGTATTTTAGAAAGCGTAAATTGGATTTTAGAATAGTCAACTGGATTTTAGAAAGGGCCATATGGATTTTAGAATAGTCAACTGGATTTTAGAAACGATCAATTGGATTTTAAAATAGTCAACTGGATTTTAGAAAGTCAATTGGATTTGAGAATAGTCAATTGGATTTGAGAAAGTGTAAATTCGATTTTAGAAAGCGTTAGTTGGATTTTTTAATGATTCATACACTATGCTATGCATATGATTATGTTGTTTCAAATATTGCTGAAGTATCAGTTATAACTACTTTTTATTAAGTTTTAACAATATAATATATATTAAAGTTAAACAACAGGTTACATTTAGGAATATACGATCTGTATGATGTTAAAAGAAAGCGGATAATGAAGACGTGAGCGGAATATTAAAATTATGTAGAATAACGTATATAAAAAGAATATAGGTGCACAGGAGTGAAATGTAATGTGATAGTAAATGAGTAATGTAAATTGGAAGAGTAAGGCAATAGTATATGTAACAAAATTCCATAGGGGTATTCTCTGAGTCTTGCAAAGCCCTTGCACGGTGCACGGATTGCACGGTTTGCAAAGCTGTCCCATACGAAAACCGGTTTTAGCCGTGCAATCCGTGCTATCTGTGCACCATGCAAGGGCTTTGCAAAACTCAGAGAATACCCCTCATATTTTACATACTTGGAAGAAATAAAATGCCATTTAAAAAACTTTTATTCACCAACTCTCATATCTCGTTTGGCAATTGCATCCGCATAGAAAGTATACTGTTCGCTTAAAAGTGAATATTTTAGAAAAATTTGCATTGACAAATACCGCAAATAAGAAAAAAATGGCTACTTCAAAATTTTTGTAGAAAATTCTAAAATTCACTTTACATTTTCTAAGCTCCAATTTACGTTTTCTAAAATCCAATTTACGTTTTCTTAAATCCCGTTAACTATTCTAAAATCCAATTTACGCTTTCTAATATCCAGTTGACTATTCTAAAATCCAATTTACACTTTCTAAAGTCCAGTTGAGTATTCTAAAACCCAATTTACGCTTTCTAAAATCCAGTTGACTATTCTAGAATCCAACTGGAAATGGTGTAGTTCGACTTAGCGCAGGCTCACGAAACAAAAAGTAGAGCAATTTACGTGCAGGAAAAATCCTCATGAAACACAATTTTGCGAGATATCTTAACCTGGCGTAACCTAGAGCACCTCAATCAACACAACTAATATAGAATCATGTTTTAGTTTTCATTGCAATCTGTCAAGGGTGTTCAGAAATGCATGAAATTACCTCATTTACGCAACCAAGTTCCAATTCGGCATTTCACCGTGGTTGCGCATACTAGATATTTCCAACATAGATTATACCATACCATTTCAGCCACTGGCAAGGCAAATGAAGTTCCGTAGGCAATCGAAATCGGCCATAAAAACAAAAGCTTGTATTCCAGAGTACTAAATACATTTAATGTTCACTTTCTCAACGTATTAATGTATTCATAAGCTTTATTTTTTTGGACCTGTGGTCGCTGCTTGTGCGGCTATCTCATCTTCCTTAGCGTGTAGTTTGGAGAGCTCTTGCTTTTTGGCAGCAATTCGCTCTTCACGGCGCTTTCTTGCTTCACGAACTTTATGTCTTCTGGCCTCGGCTTGATCCGCAAGCATCTTACTGCGTTGTTTCTCCGCCTTTTTTTTATGGATGTATTCCATCAAAACACGTTTGTTTTTAAAAACATTACCCTTGCACTTCATGTACAAGTCGTGGTACAAATGACGGTCAATCTTTTTGTTGTCTCTGTACTTTTTTAGCAAGCGTCTCAAAACCCGTTGTCTTTGCATCCATAGTAACTTTGTAGGCATACGAGCATTCGCAGTACCCTTTCGTTTTCCAAAACCACAATGACGACCTTTGCGACGAGCTTCAGTGTTCTTACGAACGCGGTAGCGAGAATGCACAACAACAGGCTTTTTGATAATCAAACCATCCTTGATTAACTTCCGGATGTTTTGACCTAAAATTATATTTAACCAATAATTAATGAATCCTTAAAAAAATTACCACATAGGCTGCATTCCAAAACGTCAAAATACAAAGCATCAGTCTCTTTTTATTTCTAAACCTCAGAAGATTGTAATTTCAAATGTGCGCAACCAAGGTTAGATGCTGGTTTAAAACTAGGTTGCGCGAGTTAGATTTTTTCTTCTAAACCGGTTTAGAAATAAGAGACTGATGCTTTGTATTTTGACGTTTTGGAATGCACCCACACTTACGGGAATTGGTATTGGCAATTTCGTTTATCTCATTTGGATCCAACCAAACCTTTTTCTTACCACATCGCATAACAGAGGCAGCAAGCCTTTTTTGCAGCTTAAGAGAACTGAAAAAGGAAAAATCGATTACTCACAGCAAAAATGAACGGAAAAATACATTTTGGTTTATTAAAAAATTCAGCCAATACCTCATGTCGACTAACTCGCGACGAATTTCAGAAAGGAAAGAAAGACAGCGGAACGGAAACAAGAACCCTGCTTTTGCCAACCACTCAAACACAAATCATAACTTATAATGCAGTATTTATACGTTTAAACTCGTGATACAAACAAAGAAGGTAATTTCACTTTGAAATTTTTTGACATAAACTAGTGGGATTCATGAAATGTCGCAAGCTCGGGAACACCTAAAGAATACGGACCTTTGAGCTGGCGAAAACAAGTGAGCATGGCTCGCCCCCTTTTCCGGATTTTAAAGGGCAAATTTTTTTTTTCGGTGCAAATTGACAGGGCCGTCGATAGGGGAGAGGGGGTGTTTACGTGGAATTTTCAACATTTTCAAAAGCTTATATTTCGAAAACTATTTAACCGCTTTTCTAAATATGGACACAGTTGGAAAGGTGATTGAAGGGCCTTTCATTCGATATATATATCTATGTATACACATTGAGAAAAGGTAAAAAATGAAATTATGGCATTTTTTTTTATAAAAATGTATGTTTTTCTTTAAAACATACGTAATTAACTATATTTACAGATATGTTTATCAGAAAGAGCACATAAATACCGTTAATTTGATATATGACTTGTAGCAAAAAATTCTTGTGGACATAATATTTGACTAAATATATATAAAAATATAGTTTTATATGAAAAAGGAAAAGCGCCGCAGGCGAAAATTTGGAATAAAAAATCGCGCGTTAGAAAATCTTACTCTATTTAGTTTTTACAAAAATTTAAATAAAATTTAAAAAAATACTAAAGAAATATATACAAACCATTTTTTTAACACACCTTTTTGCGTAGGCGGCCTTCGGCCGCGCTTAGGGATTATAACCCTCACTACGTAGAATTCTTCTTTCTGAGTTGCCAAATAAAAGGGGCTGAACACCTTTTGCAGATAACACCTTTTTGCGTAGGCGGCCTTCGGCCGCGCTTAGAGATTATAACCCTCACTACGTAGAATTCTCCTTTCTGCGTGCGAAAAAAAGGAACAGAAATCCCCTTTTCACAAAAGTATATTTCTTGTGCATTATTTGGGTATTTTTAAAGTTGAAATACAAATTTTATTAATAGAGTGGCAGCACCAGTTTCCTTCCATCTTATTTATTATATTTAACTACACAAGATTGTTGGGCGGATTTTCACCATCGGAATATTGCTATTAAATACAGAATTTCGCGAAAGTGTACACTTAAAACATCACAAATGTATAAAAACTAATAAATACGTGTTAAATTGAGTTCATTTATTCCATTCATTTGCTTGAAATTCATCAAAACATAGTGCGGAAAGTGCAAGTGTTTTTTGCAAATAACTCTTTAATGAATTAAAAATGTTAATTTCCCGTCTCGGATTGTTATTACTCGCGTTAAGACGCGTCGATTGATACCACTCTCGAAGTTTTTCCGTCCATCTTACCAGGTTCCATTAAAGTGCACTACTAACTAAATTAATACCATATAACATTAAGGGCCGGTTACTCAATGTCTGGTTAACACTAACCTCCGGTTAAACATCGTTACCAACGTCTTCGACTCCATGCATATAACAGGGAGTCGGTAACGTCGATAACGATGTTTAACTGCAGATTAGTGTTAACCAGACATTGAGTAACCGGCTCTAAAGGTATTTTTATGGTCTTTCCGATACTCATATTTGTTAATGTAATTAATTACGTATTTTTTTACGAAAAACATACATTTTTATAAAAAAAAATTGCCATAAATCGGCAACGGCAACCCTGGCGTCAAGTGAACATAAAAACGTGTACGCGCTGAATATTGTAAAAATCATTGTAAAAATTGAGGGAAAAAAACGCAAAAAAGAACAGTTGAACGTTCGATTAGTGTTGACTTTTTGTTATTTGTCGTATACGCGTAAGTTTATTGCTGAAATTGGTTTGCCCAAAATGTTATAATCTCCGCATAAGGCCAATATGGCGCCAACACGCCATGTATGTGGTGTTTGCTTTGCTAACATCCGAGAAAACACTTCCAGTATACTTTGCACCGAGTGCAACAAGTGGGTCCATGCAAAATGTACAAAGATTGATAATGTTGAGTTCAACAAAATTGCCAACGACATCAAATACAATAATTTAAAGTGGAAATGCAATGGTTGCGAAAGTGAGGTTAGCGTGATAGTTGGTGACGATCAGCATGTTGACCATGACGATCAAATCGTTAGAAAAAATGCAGAAGATGTTTGAAAAACATTTCTATGCTTTTAAAGAAGACATCGAGAACAAATTGCTTGCCTTTCGTTCGGAGCTGAACAACATTGTCAAATAAAAAAAACTCACTCAATACATTGTGTATACAGCTAGACGATAGGGTCAGCACCGTCGAATCGAAATTAACAAAGTTCAGTGCATGCGATCCAGGCTGTGAAGAGGTAATCGCTGAGATCAACGAACGTAGAAAACGAGCTAAACAAGTCGTCGCATTCAACGTTCCAGAGTCTAAAAAACCATCTGGTTCTGAACGATTAAACGATGATCGTGCTGTCTTGGCCCCACTGATTCCACAGGAGCTCTCAAACACCATTCCAGAGCTAAAAATTCGCAGGTTGGGGCGTCCACTTGCTGGGAAAACCCGCCCCTTGCTTATAGAAGCTCCCTCCGAAAGTGCTGCTATATCAATACTGAAATTTAAACCACCATCTTGCACCGACATACGTATAAAACCGGACTTAACACCAGCGCAACAAGCACACCTGAAAAAAGTACGCGGCGAATTAAACACATTGTTGTTAAGTGGCGATTCTAATAAAACAATTAAGTACGTAAATGGAGTTCCGAAGATAGTAGATAAACTTTCCTTTCGCCTAACGCAAGGGAAGCATAAGCCCCGTCCAGAGGCTCCATGTGCACTATCAGAACGCCAGAGGCCTGAGAACTAAACTAAGCACATTTCTAACCACTACTGCTTCTACTCAAGTTTATATCTTCTGCATCAGCGAATCATGGCTGCACGCATCCATCTGCGACGGCGAAGTTATTGACGGCACCTATAAAATATTCAGAAAGGACAGAGATAACACAACTAGTATGCATAAACGTGGAGGTTGGGTGTATTCATTGCAGTCAAACGTGTTATCCAGGCTGAACAAATTATTATTGCCGCCTTCTTCACCTATCGATCTATTCTCAAGCCACATTTCATCAATAAATCGTATAACTGACAAATACCCTAACTCAAAACTTCTAATCTTGGGTGATTATAATCTTCCAAGTAGCTCGCCGCCAGACGACTGCATCAAACTTGTATACGAAAGTTTCTACCTTTCCAACTGTCAACAACTTAATAAAATATACAACGATAACGATCGCACCCTCGATCTATGCTTCAGTAATACAGATGCAACCGTGGAAAAAAATCTTCCCCATCGTTTATAAAAATAAGCATCATCCCGCAATTGGAGTAAACATAGTCTTTCGATCAAGCCTGAAGTCCAACTCCGCGCCTACCTTCTCATTCAAAAAAGCCGACTATGTATCCCTTAGTAGTTTCTTCTTAAGGACCAACTGGATAGATCTATATAAAATACACTCAATTGACGATAAAGTTAATTTGTTTTATGATATAGTTAACACAGGTCTAGTTCAGTTTGTGCCGATGTACACAAGGAAGAGTACTAACTATCCTTGTTGGTTCTCCAGGGAGTTAATACAGGTTACCAAGCGCAAGAAAGAAGCCTATCATAACAAGCGGCAAATGACCAGACACTCATACGAAACGTTTCGTCGTTTAAGGTTCGAGGCCAAACAACTTAGTGCTAGGTGTTACAAAAATTACATATCAAATACAGAAAACGTTTTGAAAACTAACCCGTCAGAATTCTGGAATTTCATCAAAAATAAGAAAAATAACGATCTCGACATTCCATCGACGATAACCTGGGGAAAATATACGGCGAACAGCGGCCCTGAAATTAGCAATCTCTTTGCCTCCTTCTTTAGGAGTGTTTACGCGACTGACCAAACAACTGCCTCGGTCGCGACCAATGCTGATATTACTGATTGTAACGACCTAAGTTTGTCCAGCCTGGAAGTCAACTTCGACAAAGTTTTTGATAACCTTTTAGCTCTTGATACAAAAAAAGGGGCTGGTCCGGATGGTCTGCCTAACCAACTATTAAAGTACTGCGCTTCTGGGCTATGCGAGCCCATTACACATATATTCAACAAGTCCTTGCAGACTGGTTACTTACCCTCCCTATGGAAGTTATCTTTTATATGCCCCATACACAAGTCTGGCTCAAGATCGGAAGCAGATAATTATAGACCGATATGTGTGCAATCATCGTTAGCAAAACTGCTGGAGAAGATTGTATTATCCAAATTATCTTCATCTCTGAAAAACGTACTCACATCCAAACAACATGGCTTCATCGGCGGAAGATGTACCACAACGAACTTGCTTTTGCATGTTAGCCACATAATCAAGTCTATGAGCATGGGTTACGACGTCCGCAGTATATATGATGATATGTTAACGTATATTTCAAACGCATTCTGTTTATTCCGGCTGTGAAATGGGATTATCCGGAATGTATAAAGAAACGCAGCCAGTATTTATGGTATTCGTGGCAAAGCGTTAGATTGGTTCCGCTCATACCTATGCGGCAGAAGACTTGTGGTAAGAGTGAACGGGTTCACTTCCGACGAGATCGCTGTTACCTCAGGAGTACCTCAGGGGTCGCACCTTGGCCCTGCGCTTTTCAACATCTTTGTGAACGATATTGGTAACAATATTAAGTCGGAGTTTTTAATGTTTGCTGACGACCTTAAAATTTTCCGACAAATAACTTGCGCCGCCGACTGTGAGGCTTTACAATCGGACATAAACCAGCTTTATGACTGGTGCCTGGTCAATAAATTAAATTTGAATATAAAAAAATGTACCGTAATGTTATTTTCTCGCTCACTGAACCCAAGTTGCTATGAATATACACTAGGCCGCAATTTATTAGAAAATGTATCTACTATGAGAGACCTCAATGTAATTATGGACAGCAAGCTAACCTTCAGTAGCCACGTTGACAGTATAATTCTAAAAGCCTTTCGGACAA